AAACCGGCAGTCAGGCATCCCCCAAGGGGTCCCATTTGGTGAGGGTGCAGGCTGGGCTGAGGGACACCCCCCCCTCCCCAGCCCCACAGTGCATGAATTTCATGCACCAGGCCTCTAGTGTTTGAAATAACTAACGACTTTGTATGCATCCAGAATGAAGATGCATGCCTATGCTGTCCCTTTGAATACCTTTGACACACCATCATAGACCCCTAGAGTTATACTTACCAAGGTTTAAACAACACAATGAGAAACAAGGAAGACTGAGTATCACAGAATTGGATGATAATCTAGAATAAAATAAATTGATCATCTAGTTTTTAAATACCACTATTGGCTTTGAGATCTAGGAAAATATATTTTTATGTGAATTAACTCAAGTTTAACCAGCCATGTTATTATATACTTAGGAGATTATTACCTGGTTAGGATGATATCCAACAATGTTTTACTTGGAAGATTATGCCCAGTGAAAAGGTTGCAAGTGTGTCTTCACTGAAACAATTTAATAATGCTTTTTTCCTCCCAGAAAAACCTTAATTTCTAACCTTTAAAATTGTAGTGTAAATCTCTTTTCACAGTTTCAACGATATCCTTCACCACAACACTTTTGGAAGGCACAAAAGCCAATTCCCACACACCAGAAGAAGGGACTTTTCTGAGGAACACAGGCAACTCATCAACAGGCTGCGGAGGATAACTGAAGGGCCCAGCCTTCTCGCTATACAAAAACCTGCGTGTTAACAGAAGCACGCCAACAAACAGGACAGTCAGGATGAGCTCCGCCACCAGAGCAGTGCACTGCCGGCGCTAGGAGAGGAAAAGGATACTGTTAGCAGAAGGGTACATTAACTTTGCAAATGACTGGTTATTTGATATTAACAGGCTCTTCATAAAAGATATAGATGAAAAAAAAGGCTCAGTATACTAGTACAGTATACTGCAGTTTCCTGGACTGTCTGTTTCTCTCCCCTATGAGTCATTCTGGTGTTCTTTCACTCTGAGGACCCCACATATGTGCAAGAGATAACCCTGCTCCAGAACTGGGAAACTGCCACAGTATGAATGAAATGCAGTAGTGACTGGGCTGTCAGATGATTTCCGTGATCATTTCTTAGATGTTGCAATCCTATCTAATAAAGAGGGAATATGCATATTGACCATCACTCCACCACAAAGATGGTGGTGCCCAGTCCTCTCAGTCCAGAGAGGGTGGCCGCTGAGAGCGGGCAGCCTGAGGCCTGAAGGAATGCTTGCTTTGTCATCGTGGTGATGAGGCAAGTGTTCCACCCTGGCCACGGAGGGCCTCTGGGCAGTGGGCACGGAGCAGCCAGGGGGATTGGGGGGAGAGAGAAACACTTGCATTGTCACCCCAGTGACAAGGCAAGCGATCCACACCTGGCCACAGAGGGCCTCTGGCCAGGGAGGGCAGTTGGGGGCCATGAGGCCAGCAGGGGAGGGCATTTGGGAGCAATCAGGCCAGCAGAGGAGGGGGAAGTTGGGGACAAGCAGGCCGGTGAGGGGGGCAGTTAGGAACGAACAGGCCGGTAGGCAGAGTGGTTAGGGGTGATCAGGCAGGCAGGCAGGTGAGCGGTTAGGAGCCAGTGGTCCCAGATTGCGAGAGGGATGTCCAACTGCCGGTTTAGGCCCGATCCCACAGGGACATCCCCCAACAGTCGGACATCCCCCAAGGGGTCCCAGATTGGAGAGGGTGCAGGCCGGGCTGAGGGACACGCCCGCCCCCATGCACAAATTTCATGCACCAGGCTACTAGTAATCCTATAAATAGCTCAACTTACCTTTAATGTAAAATTCTTCCACAGAAGAACCATAAATTTGTTCAACCCCAACAAATCCATTCTTCAACTCTAAGGAGGAAGTAAAGTTTTTTTTAAAATAAGATTATCTAAAAAAAGGTATATTTTGGACAATTACTTAAATTTGAAATACCGTATTTGCCAGCGTATAAGACGACAGGGCGTATAAGACGACCCCCTAACATTTCCACTCAAAATACAGAGTTTGTTATATCCTCTCCTTTGAATGAATGTTCACAGCCATTCTGTGGGTAGGTGGATGAAGGTGATTCTCTTTCGGTTATAGATGAAGACATGGAAACTTGAGAGAAGGATCCTGTTGGCAAAATGATTAAAAAAGAGCTGTGGGCCGTAGCTGGTTTGGCGCAGTGGATAGAGCGTCGGCTTGTGGACTGAAGGGTCCCAGGTTTGATTCTGATCAAAAGCACATGCCTGGGTTGCGGGCTCGGTCCAACAT